TTCCCAATGAGAAATGTAATTGTGTTGTATACCTAAAATGTACCAATAAAAGAATTTAATAAAAAAAATAAAAATAAATAAATAAATAAAACGTTTCTCTCAAGGAATAAAAATGTTTTAAACTTGATTGTAGAACAGGTTGCACAAACCTATGAATAATACTAAAACACATGGATTGTATATTTTACAGGAGTAAAGTGTATGGTACATGAGTCACATCTCAAAGCTGCTTAAACAAAAGACCTAGTCTTGAGCACACACATAAGAAATGTCAGGCTAGGGCCAGGGATTTGGCTCAGTGGTTCCGCCACCTGCTTTGCAAGCTCAAGGTACCGAGTTCAATCCCTGGTACCAAAAAAAGAAAAGAAAAGTCAGGCTGTATTACAAGTGTTGGGTCTGCTGCACCAGAAAAGGAGATTTCAAACACATTAATGTAATTCAAAAATATATTAGGTAAGTAAACTCCCCCATTTATATTAAGCATCAATAGCTATAATCAAATTGTTGAGTTAGAAACTAAAATCCATCTCTAAGTGTGCTATTGTGTTTAATAAACATAAAATCCATTACACAGTGAAGAAATGAAGGTAAAAAAGCTCAATGACAGAGAATTCCCACAAGAGGGCAGCAGCTTATCAACTTTTAAAAATGAATTCACAGGAAAACCTGTAACCAAAAATATCAAAACAACCCATTTATGAATATGAAAGGTCCCCACTTCCACCCTACATCTCCAGACAAAAACTTAAAGGAAATAGTTACATATGTTTGCATCTTCTAATACAATTTTTATGAGGTACAATCAAAATACATAATGAATGTTTAAATTTTTAAAATTACAGTAAAGGATATATTGCCATTAATCCTAATATTCCCCGCCCTTGATTTGAACACACTTATCCCATCATTCTTATCACTTTCTTAAGCTGTTCTGGAAGTCTTCTTTTGTACCTTTACAAGGTATGATACAAAAAGCCAAAAACGAGAATGGTGCTTGTTGAGTGCCACAGGATCTAAAGACAGGCTCCTAAATACCATATGGTGTGTCTTCATCCACCTTATTCCCCAGATCTTGCACTGTGATTTCTGGTTCCTCTCCAAAGTCAAAATGACCACAAAAGGTAAACGTTTTGAATCGATTTAGGACATCTAGGCAACTCCTACAGTGCAGTTAAAGTCATCCAAGAAAGATGACTTCTAGGTCTACTTTACAAAGTACTAAGAATGATGGAATAAGTGTATTCCAAGTAAGAGGGAGTATTCTGAAGGAGTCTGAAAAGCAGTAGGCTTTTTGCTAAATTTAAAAAAAAAAAAAAAAAAAAAAAAAAAAGTTTGTATTTACCGTACTTTTTGATCACACTATACAGTTATTATGTCTTAAAATATTAAGGCCAGGCTTGGCCAACTACAGCTCACAAGCCAAACACATTCAGTCAGTTTTTTTCTTTTTCCTTTCTTCCTCTTCTTTTCTTTTTTAAATTTGACTTATCATGAGTTTAGAATGGTTTTTACATGTTTACCTGGTTACATTTTAAATGATTTTGTAAGTATAATGTCTCGACTTTAACTCTTGGTCCTTACCAATAAAAATAACATCTGATTCTTTGTTTAAAAAAATATTTGAGGTAACCTCCTGTATATGTTTGTACCAAGGATTAGAATAATAAAAGGTGAAATCTTAGTAATATCAATTTCATACAAACTTCACTTATTTGTAACATCACCACTACCCCCTAATCTTAATTAGCACTTTTTGTCTCTATCAGCTTCTTGCACTCGGCAGATGATGACATTATGGGCTTGATCGCTCTTGTGGAGGGGCTCACGTGTACAGCAGACACTGCTGCACAGCATCACGGACTCGGAGAGCAGCACCTCCACAGCTGTGACAAATGACAAATGTCCCCTGGGAAGTAAAATCACCTCTATGGAGACACACTGATCTAGATTAATAGTCTCCAAAGTAACTTGCATATATTCAGAGCAGGTGCAAGAAAATATAAAAATTTCTACTAGTCTGTTCCCAACAGGGAGGCGTATCAAAGAGCCAGCAGTAACTGTCCACAGTCTTCTCAATATTTTCTCTATTCCATAATCACTTTACTTAGCAGACAGATCATTTTTTTCAACATAAATGAAATCATAACATGCCAGAGTATGAAAACCTTCAACAACTTCCTAACATAGTTAGAAAAAAATTTCAATTCTTCACCTGCATTGCCTACAAGTCCCTCTGCGGCCTGGCCCTATTCACTTCTCCAGAGCTTTCCCATCTTAAAGTCCTCTGACCCACCTGTCCTTCTGTCCATTCTTCATCTGGCTATCTTCCTTCTTATCCCCCTGTCCTCTGACTACACATTACTGTGTCAGAATCTAATCTGTGACCTGCACTCTAAGTCAAGAAGCCTCAGCTCACTCACTCCCACCAGTATGTATCACACCTAGATGCCTATACAGCTGGTGTCAATTTACAATCACTTATTTGCATTTACTTTTTAAGCGTCTCTGATCGTTACTATACTGTGAGGACTATGTTCAATAAATAACTGAATCAATAATGCTCCAAAAACTCAGATTCTTTAAACTTAAAAAAACCTTTTAAAGATTAGGAAAAAAAAAGATCAGAAATACAATATACTGCAAAAAGCACTGGACTATGACTGGGTCCCTGTGGTGTCTCTACTGGGGTTCTCTGGCCAATTATTCAGACCTGCTATTTAGACTAGCTACATGACCTGAAGCCTAGCTATAAAATTTCATCCATTATTTAATTTCTCATGGGAATGGCAGGATGTTTCTTAAAATGTGGATGGATTAGTGGCCAGATTCAGTTTTATGATTTTAAAGAAACAGATACAGTATAAATTCTATGTGACATGCCAGAATCAAATTCTCTGGCTTCAGGCCCAATATTGTTTTACCAGGCTTATCACCTAGATACTTTTCTTTTTTACATATATAATCCCTGAAGAGAAAATCTGTTAGTAAAAAAAATAATAAATTGACCTCTTCTTTGTATTAAGCTTCAAGAGGGAGAGTAGGCATCTAAGGAAAATTTGCAAGCTAAGAGCTTTGTTCCTATTACTGCATTTAGAACCAAGCTTGGAGTCTCTAGCCAACTGAAGTAAACAGGGAGAACAGGAATATTTTAAAAACATCTACAAACTTCTAAAACCCAAGTGCCTTATTGCATATTGGTAACACAACACTAGTATAATGAGATACCAAAGACAGCTTGTTAATGGATCACAAGTAGCATGAGGGAAAAACTCAAAAGGAAGTAAGCAGAGGTCTTGATGATCATCTAGCTCAAGCTCTTAATTTTTCAAGAAAAGTTTCTCATGAGGAAAAACAACCTTCCATAGCTAACTCACTGCAAAAGGGGCCAGGATAAAAATGTAAGAGCTTCTATATTAAAAAGGAGATACAAAAAAGTCTGGGAGAAACTGCCTATTATAGGTAAGTCTCCTTTAACATCTTTAATATCATTTTAATCTTCATTCTACAAAATTAAATGGCTCATTCATTATTCCATATCAAATTTAAATGTGCTCATGTATCTAGCTTTCCAGGCATAAAAGCAAGCAACTGAAATTGGGGTTTGCAATCTCAGAAGCAGTGATTTAAACCATAGGTGGCAGCTGACATAGAGACAGGATTCCAAAAAGCCTACAAACCATACTTTGTGCAGCATCTCAACAAGGGAAACCAGTTTAGGAGCAAGGAGTTTGTGCTGCAACAGACCTGTGGCCATTATTGGATTATTTCACATTTCTATAAGCAACAGCCAAGTATTAACAGACTAACTGGGTTGTTCAAACAGGTGGACAGGAGCCACACGTGGCTACTGAACACGTGAAATGTGCAGTGACTGGGCACTGAGCTTTCAATTTTAATTTAAATGAACTAACTTCCTGCCTAACACACAAAATTAAATAGCCACATGTGTCTGATGCCAGCCAAACAAGACAATGCAAATCTAGAGAATTCACTTAGAAGAAACCCTCACTGTACACAAAGCTGATAAATTCTGCATTCTTAGTCACTTGCTAATACAAAACAATAATTTTAACAAACTTTAAATTCATGGGAAAAATTATTGTGATAATTGAAATCATTTTCCTTTAGTAAAAGCATGACCAGTCCATTTTCAGATGATTCCCTGAGCCATCAGGTTCCACTAGCTGTAATTTAATTAATAGCACAACTTACAGTGCCAAATCAACAGATACTTACACACTGTCTTCCAGACAGATTTTGGGTCCCACCACATTGGCTGCTCCACTTGCCATTTTAAAAGCAAAATGTTTCTCAGGGCAAGCTTTTGAGATCCCACATTTATATCTGGGAGGCTTCGTAGCTTTAGGGAATAAATAGGATTTTGTTGTTGTTGTTAGGCAACAAGTTAATAGACTCTACAATCTGTTTTGCATTTCAAACTACAAAGGCAATATGTAAAACATCAAGGTATACATATTTTAGAATATATACTAGAATTTTTTCCCTATAAGGGTTTCAAGGTTTCAACAACCAGAAAACACAGTAACAAAACTAGACCCTGCTGGGTCAAAAGCTAACAACTGGTATAAATGAATCAAGTATATATTATACACTCTTAATTAACATAGATATCTACTTATGCTTGAATTTATCTTTAAATTCTAGGCTACAGGAGGTTTCAAATTGTTACTTTGCATTTCCAGTCTACAGATCCATAAAATCCAGTTACCTCAAAGATAAATAAAAAGCCTAATGTCCCAGTAGCCACCTTCAACTAGAAATTCTCCTTTTACTCCTCTATCATCTTTTGGACTTATAATACTGGGTCTAAAAGCACTAATGGAAGAAAATATTCATCATGAATAAATACCAATGATATTAAACTGTCCAAATAGCAGCCATATAACTTTACCTACACTTTTGTTTATCTGGTGATTCTGAAGATTCAACCCAGGGCATCAGGCAAACTATAGTAATGCTCTACCACTGAGCTACATCTCCAGCCTGCATACATATAACTTTAAGACACAATTTCAAAGTCAGTTTCTACTCACACTGAACTATCGGCAGTAATTTAAGTATAAACTCTCACACGGCTAAAATAAAGAATATACATTTGTAAAATATTAACATGAATTACTTACAACGTGTAGCTGTGTCCAATGCTGACCTTGCTAAGGGGGAAAAAAAGAAAGTTACTTTTGTTAGAATAAGCCTATTGGCAAGCATCCATTTTTAAAACACATTTAGAGCTTCTAAAAGGCTTATAAAAACAGGTGTTTGAATACTCAGTACATAATAAGTAAAATATGAGTACCACTTCAGATAAATTAACTTTATACAATTCATTATAAGCTATGATATGGAGGAATCATGGAGAGTAGTACTTTACTACTGTAGAAAATTTTTATCTATATATTTTGTTGTTTTAGTTATTACAAATTTAAATCCCAATCTGAAAGTTGCTCTACAAACTTATCTGTAAATGACTATTACTATATACCTGCTAATTAATTACAGTATTAAAAGTTATAGCTGTTGTATGATATTGGGTACATATGGATAGTTCCAGAGAATATATATAAATCTATCTTGTTGGTTAGGTTAGAAAATCAGGGAATGGAAAAGAAGGGGATGGTAAGGAATAGGGAACTTTAATTTCTCCAACATAGAAATGTACTAGGTGTAATAATATTTTTTAAAAAGGTCATCACTAAGAGTTTTATAATTCACCAGGTTCAAGGAAGCCACAAGGTCAAACCTTAACATGAATGTAGCAGATCTCAACCTGGTCATCTATCACAATTACCTCTCTCAGCACCAACATTTGATCCCAGCCTGGGAAATTATATCTTAGCATGTTAAAGTATTGCCGACACCCATTTCCTGATGTGACTAATAAGTATGCAGTGTGATAAATGTTAGCCAGCTGTCTGACTATAAGTAGCCACTTAGTTTTCACTTCTGTACTATTTTTGATAATTGTGAATTTCCTGTTAGTCTAATATTCAAACTGCAAAATAGAAAGTTAAAGCTGAAAGATAGTATCTAAATGTTCAAAAGAAGGAAAATGACCAAGTGAAGCCTCATTCACCCAACAGGGGAGTCACTAGACTATTATGCACTTTATGACTTTAATAAATCATAAAGGTAGTATAATAACTGAGAAAACTTTAATGTATGGAATAAAGTAAAAAACAAAGTTTATCCATACCCTAAATTTAAATACTGAAAATATTTTTGCATAAGAACAGAGACTTGAAGAAAACAATAAAAAAATGAAAAGTTAGTAAATTTAGTTGTTGGGATTATATTACAGGGGTTCATTCTTTCAATGTTCTTAATTATGTCGTTTTCCTTGATTACATTATAAAATAGGAAACATAATTACAGAGATCTAATCCAATGATCTTACTTTTGTAAATGAGAAAACTAAAGCCTAGGACCGTAAGGACCGGGAATTCTTAACTTCACTAGGTCCTGAATACAGGCATTACCCGGCTCAGGTGTTACAACTTCTAGGAAGCAGCAGTGCTGAGAACAGGAACTCTGGTCTACCTCACCTATGGTAGTGAGATACTGGGAAAACATGGATCAGAACAGGGTTAAGATTATACAGTTCATTCACATATGATGGGTCTCTGTCAAGCACTTTTCTATGTGCTACTGATTTGACTGTAATTTTTTTCTTTAAAGATAAAAAAATTGAGGCTACAATAGTTTACTGACTTAACCTGCTTTAGGTCATAGTAACTGCAGAGCTAGATTCTAAAGCCACCTCTCATGTAGCACTCAAACTCATACTGAACCACCTCTGAAAATGGGAATGTCTGAGGTCTTCTGATCACACACACAAAAAACTGCCAGTCCTGCCAGGAGTAGGAAGCAGGACAAGAAGCCTTTAGAACAAACACTTTGACTGCAGGGGGTTCAAGAGTAGAGAAGGTGAGCTGTCAAGGACACTGCAGAAGTAATCCAGATAAAAAAGGATAGTTTGAGGGGAAGAAAATATGAAAGTACTGACTGTGGGTTTGAAAAAAGTAGACTCGGGAACCAAGGAAACAACATTGACAGGACTTGAGAATGGACCAGAGGCAGGGGTGCTGGAGGGGAGGAATCAGGATACTGGTCAGGATCTGACTTTAAAAGCATCTGGGTATTGCTTCACAAGGCCACTGAAAAAAACATTCATATCTTTTGTGCTGAAGATTTTTGTAAGAATAAGGATACAAGGGTGGGGATATATGATGAATTCTGCAGGACTTGCTAATCTTAAGAACTCTTTAGAAGAAGATACAAGTGGAATAGCATAGAGGCTGGCTGTAAAGAGGAACTAGGATCAAAATATAACCTGGAAAATTAGGAAATGGATGAGGCCTTCAATTATCAAATAATGATCAGAAGCCAAGAATCTTCACAACCCGGAGTGGCTAATGAAAAAGAGACAGATGGAAAATCAGAGAGGAGTTTCTAAAATGGTCACGAAAGCTGGGAATGTAGCTCAGTGGTGCCACGCCTGCCTGATAAGTGCAAAGTCCTGAGTTCAATCCCCAAGACTGGAAAAAATAAAAAAAACTAGTCATGCCAGCTTGCTTATAAAATTTGAGGTGTGAAAACAGTCAAAGGAAAAAAGTCAAAGTCTGTTAATCACAAGACTTTCAAGTAAACAACATCACTTCCATTTATTTTGTGTAAGTGCAAGAGCGGGGCAAGATGCTCGATGGTAAACTCTCAAAGGACTTCGTTACAGACGAAACTTCACTGTTGCCCTATACTCATCAAAACTAAAAGTCTTCTACTAGGCCTACCATTCTGAGAATGTTAGCCGCTGGAACCAAACAGGTAAATTACTTTCCATCATAAAGGATGTCATCTAAGAGAAGAGACCAGGCATAACACACAGGCACCAAACCACCTCCTCTTCTGTAGTGTTTATTCTTCAAACTCCAATAACATTAGTCCTTAATTTCTTTTGATATGTACAACTTCTCACCTTAAGGAGCAATAAAAAATCTTTCTGATTTAGTAGTACCAGTGCGTATCTTTCAATAAGGCTAATGAATCAGAACTATTTTGTACTTTAGTTATTAATAATGAGTCAGGAAATTTACGTATATACTACTTACCAAGGATTTAAATTCCACAGGATAAAAATAAACTCCATAAAACATTAAATATTCACTACAACAACATGCAAAAATAATTTGGACTGAGTTCTATACATTTACTAGCTAAGTGTACATGCTGAAAACTAACACTACATTAAATTACAATCATAAATAAGCCTGGTGAATTGTAGCCATGTTCACATCCTGACTGGGACACTATATTATAGTTTCCAGGACTTTACTAATAGGAGAAACTGAGTAAAGGGTATGCAGGATCTCTGAGTACTTTTTGTTTGTTTGTTTTTTTGAGACAGGGTTTGCTATGTAGTCCAGGCTAGCCTTGAACTTGTGACATAGCCCAAGCTGGCTGCACAATCACAATCCCCTCGCTCAGCCTCCTGAGTGCTGGCCTTACACACAGGCATCACCATGCCTAAGTCTAAGCATTTCTTAGAAATGCATATAATTTTACAATTCTCAAAAATATTTTAGGAAATAAAAACTTGGGTTTTTGCTTTGTAGATTTGTATTTTCTGTTTGTTTTTTGGTGCTGGGGATTGAAGCCAGTGTCTCACACATGCTAAGCACATGTTCTACACTGAACCCAGACCAAAATATTGTTTAAAAAAAAAAATCACCATCTACCTTGTAATTTCAACTAGTTTGCATAAATTTGTACTACGTAATAAACCTGAGTCATAATGATTTACAGAAACAATCAAATATCAAATGCGCTGTCATATCACTAAATGGGAAAAATAGAAAACTCGCCACTAGAGGAACTTGTTAATCTTATGGACACCTGGAATACTGATCAGAGGAATCATCCCAAACTGGGCTAACCTTCCCTTTGATAAATTAAGCTAGATGCTAAACAAATCACAGAAGATAACACATAATTCATTTTGAAAATAGTCTGAAGTAAAACCCCACCAATTAAATTTTCACCAACCTAACAGACTGGAATATACTACGGTTTTATAGATATAATGTACTACTTCATTTATGACATCAAAACATGCATCTACTCTAAGAGTGCCTAAATTCAATAGCTAAAATGCACACTGTAAAACCTTGCAAGTACTTAACATTAGGAAAAATTAAAATGAAAATCAGGACAGACAATTCTCCTAATTAAAATACTCAGCATTTGTTCTCAGCTGACTATCCCTCATTTTTCCACTCTGGAAATACGCTTCTTTATCACATAAAAATCTGAATCCTCAATCATCATTTAGACTCAATCAGCATTTCTATCTACCTAATCCAGTGTTAATATGGGGTAAAGCACTAAGACATTACTGCCCTCCAGTTGATGGGAAGACACACAAAAGAATCCCTCCCAAGCATTAATTCATACAAAGCAAAGCTCACTAATTCAGAGATTTCAAAATTTTTTCATTCAATTCTGCCTATTAAGCCAAAATACTGTTTGTAGGTTTTATAATTTCACTTTGCATGCTTAATTTTTAATGCCTTAAACAACACTGCAGCCAAAGTTTACTCAATATAAGATCTATGAAAAGTAACAGTAACTTCTCTAAATTCAAATAATGAAGGCCTACAATCTCTCTAGAAGAGACTCAATTTTATATAGAGGTTTAAATATAAGTATTTCTTTAATAGATAAACATTAAGTTCTATTCTTTATTCTCATAATGATATACTTATAGGCTAGAAATACACATTAGGTACTTAGATATACAACTCTCTAAAAGAGCATTAAATTGATTCCATTTCATTAACATGGATTTTGTTAAAAACTACCTTATAATGGTACATTTACAATATAGAAACATTAAATGAATGGATACCAAAAAAAAGCCACACAAAAAAGGACAGAAAAGTCAGATGAATTTCAATGATCAATATTTAAAATACATTATTGTGACTCGTAATCACTTGGTAACTGAGGGCTGTATTTGGGTCCAAGTTTTCCAGCGGCCAAAATTTAAACTCAGGGGTGCTATATCTTCTAGACTGTGCATTTAGAAACTATGATTTATACCTCTTACTAGGTATAAAACAGTCTTTTTAAATATGTTTAAAGTGTTGAAGAGAAGATTCATTACTTTATACTAAATTCTAAGACTTCTTACATATTTTAGAATATTCTAACAAATCACATTTACTGGTATCATTCTTTTTCTAGACAGGCTAAACAGCAGTGATTCAATGTTGAGAGTTGATAAAAATTCAGACAATTACATTAAAAATAATGTTTAAAAAAAGAAAAAAGTGAAACTTACCAAATAGATTTCCTAAACTTGCATCCATTTTTATTTCAAATACTTGAGAAATAACATAAAATGTCAGTAAAAATACTGCCACAGCTACCACCAACTTTGCAGCTCCTAGATAAAAAGCAGAAAAAATTCAGCATGAGTCTACGAGCCCACAGAATTTTTGTTATGCATTTTAATTAAGTTTCTTTAAGACTACTTAAATCATTGTGTACTTTTACATGCAAAAAAACCTCATCTGTCATCAGTTGCTAGCTGACTACATAAAAATGTCATGGCTAACTGAGTTTGTTTGATGATACAATTCCTAGTTCTTTCCAAATATAAAGGGCAATGCTATAGAGAGATGCTATAAAACACTGGACTTTCTGGAGATATTAAGGCCAAGATATCCACTAAGCAACAAGTTCTCAAGTGAAATGTAACAGGTTTACCAACATTTCTCCTACAGCTATATCGCTCATGGCTTGGCAAACAACAAAGTCTCCCTACTTAATACTTAGGTTAAGACAGGCATTCCACTCCTGGAGGACATAATTTGGCATCTATATTTTATAACACGGTTATATGGTGAGCTCCATGAGGGCAGATGCCTCATCTTTTATACCTATGTATCTTCACTCATGTCTGAGTGCCTTACAAATAGTTATCACTGACATTATTGCTATCTAGTAAAGGACAAAGTGGAAGATAAATAGAAAAACATCAGCAGAAAATATCTTCCTCCCAAGCTTATGATCTCAGAGATAGGCCATTAGCTTATTCAGGAACAATATTAATACATGTTTATAAAACTTCCCTTCCCCTTTCCTTAATTTGTGTTGGTGTAAAAGGTAAAGGGCTGGGGATGTAGCTCAGTGGCACTGCAAAAAGGGGGAAAATAAAAAGTAAGACGTAAAAAGACCAGCAGTCATCTCACTTTCTTAAAGAAAAAAAAAGGCCTAAAAGTGAGGTGATCACCAAGGATTACAGATAAATTAGTGGCAGCACAAGGACCAAAATGCAGGAATCCTAACAAAGCTAAGAGGTTTGTACAAGACTCCACTCTAAAACCAAATTATCTCATTCTCCAGAAAAAATAGCAAGCTCAATTAAGGAAGAACAAAAAACAAATATGCTCATTTTAATTTCACAAACCTGAAAACAATTGACTGCATCCTTGCAGGGGAGGGAAGGGAATGAGCTGATGATGCTCTCTCTGTAAGGCTGAGGATGCAGAGAAGCAGTAGCTTCTCAAAGCCTACTCACTGCTATTTAGAAACACTCTATTAATGGCTATGTATGGGGCGGGTAGGGAATAGATGGTAAATGATAAATTTCTGTACTTTCAATTTTGCTGTGAACCCAAAACTGCTCTAAAAGTTAAAGCCTTAAAAAAAAATTCTATCATTATAGCATGTGGCAACAAGGAAGTATAACCACTAATCTATCCCAGCCTCTCCCATTTTCTACCTTATGTCTTAAGAGCAACTACAAGCTGCCTACATTTTTAGTGTTTAAAAGTGCAAAATTCATTAAGCTTTGAACTCTTTCCACCAGTATGTAGCCAAGTGGTCCATGGCACATTAATATCATCAACAACTCTTTGATAAAGAGATAAACAATAACAAGTGGAATATTTTTCTTAAGACCGCAGCTTGAAGAGGATATACTGCATGATAGTATGACCATCTTATTTTCTAGCAATTATGAGCATGTGTAACCAAAGACAACCTTTCCTTGTCTGTCCATAAAGCAGAAATGTGAAACTTACTGTTGAACAAGGAGATATTAAAATCAGATCTATAAAAGAAAGTTCTACCCTAAATCTTATACAAACTACACGTGAGTCTAAATTAAAAAGTTACAAAAATACATAAATATACTTTTTAATATAGTACATGTTATGGTTGAGATCTGCAATCTCCCCCAAACTCTCATGTGCTCAGGGTTTTTGAAAGCTGACTGGATCGTGGGGGTGCTATGGCCATCAGCGGAATTGTTCACTAATGAGTTCCGCAGCTGAAAGTGCTGTTCAAGGTGGGGCTGGAGGTAGATGACTCAGGACAAGACCTGGAAGGGTGTATCTCCCTCCCTGACTCCTCCCTTCTATTTTTGCTTCCCAGCCACTATGAAGTGAGCAGCTTTCTTACATGGGACACTTCCACCATGCCACTTCTGTCTTGGAGCCAGCTGACCATGGGCTGAAAACGTGAACCAAACCAAACCTCTCCTCCTTTAAGTTGTAGGTGTCAGGCACCGTGTCCCAGCAATAAAAAAATGAAAAAGGCAGTATATATACCATTTACCGAGTGCCCACTATAAAGCTAAATGTTTTATAGTGTGACAACCTCATTTTACACAGCTTTTCAGATATCACTTTCATTTTACAAATACAGAAAATGAGGCTAAAATTTTGTATCACCTTCCTGGAACTAGTAAGTGGAAGCACTTACATCAAGACCTATTCACTTATTACTGGACCATCAGAGGAACCAGGAAGAAACAACAGCTCTAAGAAAAAGAAAAGCTAAAGGTAAAGAAACTAGCATTGTCTTTGGAACTTGCTCTGGAAGATCTTCTGCAGAGCTGGCCTGATTCAGAATAAATATTCAATTCTGGAGTTGGAAGACACTGTAACCACACCACACAATTCCCATTCTGAACCATTCATGAAATTCCTTTTTCCTTTTAGCCATGGAAGGCAGGTATTCCTATTTTTCACAAACCGAACAGCATAAACATTAGCTGTAAGAGTAACAGCTATATGGATATTTCAAAGCAACCAGATATTTTTTTAAACAGAAGAGAATAATTTGTTAAAATCAATAAACTAACAACTAATCTTCCCTATTTATTCACTAAGGCAGTTCCCTCAAGATCTATACTAGGAACAGTGAAAATATAAAATAAGCATTTAATGAATAATTACTCATCAATTAGCCTGGGCATTCATTGTCAGAATCTGAGAAATAGACTAGATGATAAAGTTAATTTAAACTAGAACACAGAATTATGGGCCAAATAGAAACTTGCTTTTCAAGATATCATGCTTAAATAATGTACTTTAAATCATCTACAGAGATATAAAATCCTAAATAGTCCTGCTATATTCAAAGATCATTCAAAAAACACAATGCATGTGTTTTTAAACCACAAACAAGCTTGTGGTTTCTGAGGAGACTTTTCTTCAACAATCGTACAATTACTTTTAAAAAGATGTTTTGTAACTTCAGGGCAAAGAGATCCAGTTTTTAAAATTTTCACAAAAGCATTAGTAACAACCTTCAATTACATTTAATAATCATGATGTTTGATCAACTGCGCCTGACTCTATACAATTATGACCAAAGTATGAAGATTTGTTTGTTCACTTCCCTTAACAGGCATTTTAAAGAAATACTGCTTTTAAAAATATTTAGCTTTCCATTGAGATGAAAATTAAAAGACCAATTATCTTGATTTTGAGAAATTATAAGTTGCCTTCCATCTTGGGCACATATTCAGTAGAAATTCCTTTGTAAAACAAGCATTTCTTTAGGCCTTTACTGGAGGAAGTGTGGGGGAAACAATCTCTTACAGGTAGGAAGAGGTTATCCATGTATTTATAGATCAGTCTTTTTGTAATGTCTTATTGATAACTACCTTAATATTATGAACATCTAGTGATTTTTTCATTTTTTAAAATATGCTGCTTCAGGAATAGATTAAAGTCCTTAACCTAACTTCACAGACTGAACTTGAACAAATATTGAGCAAAAATACATTTCATTAAATCCTGTGTATACATCAGTTGTAATTTTACATGGAAGAGATCTAAACTTTTAAACTTTAGAATTCATTTTTCTCAAGAGGTGATACCTTTGCAAAAACAAAAATCAGCTTCCCTATGCTATCAAAACCATTCTTCATATTGGCATTTTCTGTATAATACTAAGCAAACAAGCTTAACGTATAAGAAATAAACATTAAAAACAGAACTTAGAATATTTACTGCAATTTCAAATGTCACTAAAACTTTACAAAATTCTTATTCAACATCCAGTATGTGATTTAAAAAAATTAAGACTAACGAGTGACTTATTTTTTGCTAGTCCATGTTTGCAGTACATGATTACATGCCTTGTATGGAGTGGATACATGCACACCGCAACTCTTCATTCCTTCCTCATCCCCTTCCCCCCTCCATCTCTTGATCCCCTTCTCAACCGAGAAAGAGCTATCTCCCTACTTTCTGCTCTCTCTCTTAGTTTGCTCTTTACCATTTGAGTTTCTCCTGTGATATTTAAGCTTAACTATAATTTATTCTAGCTCTGTACTCAATATAAACACCATTTTCCTCTCCTTTAGACATTATAAACAAATAAGTTTCCCCAAAAGTCAAAATTATATTCCCTGGATTAAACAGCTTACCTGCTACCCTCATGTTTGGTTTTTCAGTCTATGGCACTTTTCATTAAATAAAGCTCCTAAAATCAAAAGAAAAAGCAAACACCATTAATTCTAGATTGAATATTCTTCCTTTGATTGAGTCTGATTTGGAATGTATACATTAAAGTAGTAATTAAGCAAATCTCATGACATCTCTGAGGGTCTGTGTCTTACATGGCTGTTTCCTCAGCTCCCTCACAGAATGAACAAATGAGAAAACCTGCCACTGAGCATGTGGCCAGAAGGCAGTATCTTACTACTCTCAGTGACAATGCATCTTCAAGGAACTTCTGATGAGTTCCAAACTTCCAATTTGCAGAAAAGGTTGAGATTAAGCTGTTCATGTAGTAATGGAAAAAATTATTGTAGAAATGGGGCAAGAGTTTAGGACAGTCAGCTCACACCAGTACACGATGCTACTTCATTTCTGATGTGACAGAATCCAGGTATCACTGCTATAAGCATTCATAGCAATGAGTTCTCTTCAGGTTTTTTTCAGTTTATATTTGGAAAATAATGCATACAGAAATACAAAATTACAATTTCAAATATTCCAGCAATCATCATTATTGACAGAATAATACATCAAATGAAGAAATTCTTTTTCAGTATTATTTACCACAAGAAACAGATGCTACAAAAAAACTTGCATGTCTATGCATGTTTCTCTCCTACAAAATAACAGAGGTGAAGTTAAAAAAATAAAATGGAAAAATTTGATAATAAAGCCAGGTCCAAATTTAGCTGGACAGCTTCCACAGACACATCAACCTATTGTAAAGGTTAAATTCACAATAAAGATACTGTATTTTGATACTTGCATTTCAATGCTGATGTCTAATCTAGTAATTCACAGGAAGTTTTAAGTAAAAACAATGATACACCCCTTAGGACTCTGAAAAGAAGTGAGACATCCAGTCTTCTTATCAATTATTTCAGTGCTGACTCCTTTCCTCTGCACAATCTACCCTGAAGGGGGGTGCTCAACATTTACCTGAGTTGTTCGCTATTGATTTCCTTCCTTTGTTAGTTATTTGAACACCTTCCATGTAATAGGAAAAGTCAACATTATATATCTTTTAATACTACTTAGCCAAAGGCTAGGAAAATACTAAACGTTAACAAGAGATACTGAGGTATCTACCAGCCATCACTCGAAAGTAGAAAAAAGCCCTTGGCTTTTCAAATGGAAATTCCAATAGGTTATAAATCCTCTTTGGCTTCCAGTGAAATTAAACTTTGCCTTCACAACTCACATGTCTTTCCTCCCAGTTAATATTTCAAAATAATTTCACTCATCTGAGCATGGTCTAGGAAAATGTCTTTTATAAGCTGCTGGGCATCAGACACCTGCTGTTCTATTTCAGTTTCTATTACCTACTGAGGCTGCCGCATCTGTATAGCTACTAGCACTGCCTCATATACCTGCCACCTGTTTTTACTTCCAACAAGCCTGTTTCTAAACTCACCAATGCCAAGACTGCAATGTAAGCAACTACCTTACAGCTGACTGGTGAATACAATTGTTTCCCATTTAAAATTTCTTAGCAAATTAACATTTAGTAAGATCTCTAATTTCATCAAATTAAGTTTCAACCATAACACATCTTCAATTAATTAGCTTAATGTTCTCACATCTTTAATTAATGATGCAAACATGTAAAACAGCAAAGAAGAAGGAGTATCGATCACAGTGTCCTCTACCAGAGCAAATTTTAGCCCAAATCATTGGCTGACCTGTGTCTATAAGCTGATGGTGCTGAAGTGGTTTGAGATGTGTGGCTGTGTGTGGGATGGTTAAATATATTTGAGAGCAAATCATAGAGCATGTTTATAATATGCTAATTCCAAATCACTCCTGACTTTATGCTCCTAGCAAGGCATTTAAAGACAAAGAAAATCTTTATAATAACCTTAGTGAAGAAAAGGCAAAAATGTAATGAAAACTTTAGACCAAACTGCCAACAATGAAATAAGAAGAGAATGGGTCCACAGAAAAGGAACAGAACAGTAAAAGACTGAAAAGACCTCTAATCTAGAGTAAACAAGTGAAAGGGTTTAAAAAGGTCTTACCTCATTTAAAGGCAGAGATACAAAAATTACAGCCAGTTAGCAAAACCAGAATTTTAGTGGTTGGAGGCTATTGTTAGGGCAGATTAAAAACAAATAAATTTGAAGAAATACCCTTCAAACCATGCATTTATGGAATACAGGTACTCTAAAAGTAGAAACATAGGCCAAAACAAGAAGTTTCAGTGATTCGGACAAATAAACCAGGTTGTTCAATGTAAGGTGCATAATGATCTGAAAGCAGACAGCAAAAAGGGACTCGTGATGTCCCTGTGCTGGATGAACACTATGTGACCTAGCCTGAGGAAGAGGGCCCAAACTAGGAGCTCAGATCGACATATTGCACTTCTTTGAATGTTTTATAATTTAAAAAAAAATTTTTAGTTCAAATACTAGTTTGGTCCAATTGAGTGAAGGGTTGTTATTCAAGTAAAAATCAGGGTACTGTATGAATAAAAAGGTATTGTCTTAGACTCCATTAACGTCATCAACAGCAGCAAAGGAAAGCACATCTCGAGTGATACTCTTTCCCTGAGAAATGGCTTCTAAATCAGGTGAATTACAAGAATACCATTCTATACCAACAAAATAAGCCATGAAAATAACTACCAGGCAGAAGATGTCTTCCAGCTAATATAAACTAGGAAATAAAGTATACATGGTGCAATTCACATATTCTTATTTTTGGTAATCCTCCCATCAGGCCTCCGGCCGTAGTGGGTATTATAGGGCATTAGAGATGAGTTCAAGGGATTTGTCTAAGGTCCTATATAAAGGGTAAGGAAGCTCAAAAACAAATCCACTTTCTTTTCACTCCAGATGCTCACTGAATACCCTAATACACGAGACCTGTTAACAAAATGCCATGCCAGTCAACAAGGCTTTTGCAAATTGTTCTGGGAATTGCTGTTACACGCTGCAAACCAGCCACTCCAGAGACGTGACAGCTTGTTAAAATGACTAAGCTTTTGTGTTAGAACCTTCCTATCTCGAGAGAAATGATGAAAATGAAGAAAATAAAGCAAACAGATGCACTCATTGATACAGTTAATACTCACAAACAGAAACCACTTAGGCCATACTCTTAAGTGAAATAAATAGGACACACATGTGTAAATACCGAATAGTTTCTCTGGTGTGAGAAACTGAAAGTGTAAATTTGAGGATCAAAATGTACAATAGATAATTTGAAATAGTAAGAAAAGGTCCAAAGGGGAAGGGGAAATAGGAGGGGTAGGGGAAAGGAAAGAAGGGAAAGGAATAAATATGAGAAAAGGAAAAAAACGGAAACAAAGTCTTTGTAAATAGGGAGGGGTAGAAGGGTTGAAGGGAGGGCAGGGGAATGAGGAAAAAAATAAGAACCAAGATATATCATGTAAAGGTACAAATTACCAATGATGAATGTCATCAGGTTGTATACCTAAAACGTACCAATAAACTTAATTAAAAAATAATAAAAACAGCAACCACTTAAGCCAGAAGAAAATATTGTAAGTTATGTGCCACAAATACAGAGAAACTATCATTCAATTCAATCCAACTTTAACAGTGCAGTGACAATTTTAACTAAACCAACCAGGTTCTGATGATTCTAATATTCACATAGATGAGTGGCTTTTCCAGACAACTATTAAAAATAGGTCAAAGTGCAAACGGGTGGATGTAAAGTATATTTTGGCCCTGTGATTATTAATTTTATATGTTTAATTGACTGGCCTGCTGGTTACCATATAAAGTCCACCAAAAAATGTATACAACAGGAAAAGAAAAATACTTGCATAAGTGTTTCAATACTAAATTTATTAAGACACCATGAGATTAATACAAGTTACTTTTGCCTTTTACAATTACAAAAGGTGTTCAGAGTGGTGGCCATTAGCTTCCAGACATTTATTAGTTTGGCAAACTGCTGAAGTGTGTATACATTTTTTTGGCAGACTCTGTATTTAAGCACTAGGGCTGGGGATTCAGCTCAGTGTATATATACATATATACAGCACATCAGCACATATATGACATATATACTATATATATATATATATATATATATGTATATCTTTTTCACCTACAGTTCCTGGCCCATAACTTCCCCTACCAAAGCAGGCCATAAAACCTTAAATTTGTCTTTCTCGTAACAAATCATAGAAGCCCTAACCTTCACCCACTTTTGTTTTGGAGCTGGACATAAAGAAATTCTCTGACCAACCCCTGTCTGCAACAGGTCATAGGACCCTCCTCATTCTAGAGGAGTCCTGCCCCCAACCATGAAGGAAGAACTGCAGCACAGACAAGCCAAGGAGATCTCTGGATTCCCCTTCAGACTACTCCATTAATTCCTCTTTTTGTCCCATCACATTTTAACATTGTTGCCCATGCTTCAGGCATGCCTATGTCACCAAGTCTCCATGAAACTCCTAAAAGGCAGAGTCTGCAGAACTTCCAGAATACTGAACAGGGAAGCTCCACAGACGCCATGGAAACTGTGTTGCTTCTGACACACTTCACCCTGGGCACCTTTGCATCTGCATCCTTTGTAATAACCTTTATAATAAAGTGGTCAATCTAAGTGCTATGAGTTCTGTGAGCCACTGAAGCAAATTAACTGAAACTCAGGAGGAGGTTGTGGGAACACTAGTTCATAGCCAGTTCATCAGAAGCACAGGTAAAAACCACCTGGGGGCCAGGGATTTGGCATAGTGGTGCCACTGCCTACCTCGCAATTGAAAGGTCCTGAGTTCAATCTCTGGTCCAAAAACAACCACCTGGGGCTAAGGTGGAAGGGGTGGTCTTGGAAACTGAACCTTCCACCTGCAGTACCTGCCACTACCTCCACGTAAAGTAACAGAGCCAAAATGGATTAGAAGACACCTAGCTAGTGTCTGTGGAACTGATGGCAGTTTTCTAATGAGGAGAAATCCCCACGAGTTTTGAGGTCTTTTGTGCTGATAGTGGCATGAGAGAAGAGGAA